GCGCGGGACGGGCCGCCGGTGCTGACCGACGGGAGCACCGCCCCGCGCTGGCGGCCTCCCGGAAAGTTGGCGGGGACGCGAGGGCCACAGACCTGTACTGATGAAAAGTTCCGCCCAATTGGAAAACTTTGGCGACTTTCCGCTGTACTGGAGACAGAACCGGGCGCTGCGCCGCTGAGCTGCAGCCCCACGGCATTTTCTTGTTTTGAGACCCGGTGTTTGCTAAGTGACTTGCCATCCTCCTGCCTCAGCCTTCCGAGTAGCTGGGATTACCGGTGTGCGCGACTGCGCCGGGCCCATGTTTAAAAATCGGGGTCATCTAAGCTGACCCTGGATTTAAGACGCCTCCTTTGAGAAAAGCCTGGGATCCCCGTGAAAGTCGCGCGCGCTTGCGCTTGTGACGGGTCTCTGGCAGCTGCACTGGGTCGCTGGACCCGGCGTCGGGGCTGCTGGCGCTGCGCCCTGGAATGGGGTGGGCACCTCGCGGGTCACTGCGCGGGGCCCGGGGTGTGGGGAGCTGGTCCCCGGGGCAGCGAGAGGATCGCTTGCGGCGGAGTAGACTGTGGGGTGCTGGGGCCCGGTGCTTCAGGATCGCAGGGCGCTGGGGAGGGGAGCAGAGGCCCGCAGCATTCCCTGGGGGCTGATTGGTCAGTCCTTGCAAAGCACAAGTCACAGAAGGGCAGGGGCGACTGGCAGCCAGTGCCCTCTGACCCCAAGAGTGGCGGGGGCGTCAGGCTGGGCAGCTGCTTGGCCCTAGGGTTTGCCCCGGGAGCTTAACTGTCTCCTCGTTGGGCCGCTTCGAGGCTCCAGCCCTGCCTCTCTGGCTGCTGGTGTCCTCGGGGTGTGGGCGGTGACACGGCCAGAAGGAAGAGGAGGGCGAGGTCAGCAGTCTCTCCCCGGGCCGGTGGAGAAGGCGGCCAGCGCGGTGGGGGGCCCGGATGGTGGTCGTTGTGCAGCAACTGACAGCATCGCAAGCCTGGGACGTCGAAACCGAGGGCAGACGCCCTGTAGGAAGTCACGAGGGACTCATAGGGGCGGGTGCCAGGGGCTGTGCCCTTCCCCGGCCCCGGGCTATGTGCCTCGGCCAGCCCCTGGGAGCGCTTTGGTTACGGTGTAATTCAACCTGTTGACTCCAGTTTCCCTGGCCAGGAGGCGGAGCCCCCACCCTCCTGTTCTCCCCTCCACCCTTTTCCTCTCTTCCCCCTTCAGTGGCCTCCACTCCAGTCTCTCCCTCCCTCCCCTCTCCCCTCCCTCCCCTCCTCTGCTCCGCCCCTCCCCGGAAGTGGCCCTGGGTCACCTTCCAGGGGTTAGACTTAGGCAATGCTGTGGGGAGGTGTTCACGGTGGCCCACCCTCAGATGGAAGCTGTGGGTCTGGGTGACACAGGGACCCAGTCGTCCTGGGGCCCTTCTTGAGATGGCCAAGAATGATGTGCTGGCCTCCCCTCCCCTTCCTGTCCCCCAGGCACCCTAGACTTGAGATCACCTTGAGTGTCCGGCTGCCTGCCTGGTCTCTAGTTGAGGGACTGGGCAGGGCAGGAAGAGGTCAAAGGTAAAAGGGTGCAGACCCTGACCTCTGGAGGTTTTGGGGTCAGGGCTGGCACATGCTGGGCAGAGCATGTATCCCATCTAAGTGATGCCACCTGCCAGCTGTGAGTGGGAGCGCGGCCTCGAGCCTGTCTGATGGCCTATTTCTTCATTGGCATGGGCCTGCAGGCTGTGGGAGGACAGGGTCAGTCCCTGTGGAGAGTGGGCTCCAGGGCAGATGCTGGGTGACAGTGTGGAAGAAGGGGTGGCGGCTCAGTCCACCCACCGCAAGGTGCCGGTCCCAGGGGAGGCAGGTCTGTGGCCAGCCCAGCAGGCCCGCTGGGTGCCTTGCAGAGGGACAGGGCTCCCAGTTGCTCTGTTTATTGTGTTGGGACAGAGGCTCTGGGTACATAGATTTGTGATGTAGGCAACCCTCGCTCCTGCTCCTGCCCTTGGGAGGTTCTAGAGCAGTCAGGCTCAGAAGGGGCTGGTGTCACAATTTTAATGAGCTGGAGAGGTTGGTCCCTGTCACTTCAGGTGAAAATGAGTCACACCCTAGCAAGTCCCTCCCCTGCCTGGGACACGGCATTGGTTCCTTTCACCAGGAAAGGGCCGACCTGCACAGATGGCTGGGAACCTCAGCATCTCCTGACAACCTGGTTCCGATCCCATTTTGAGATGAAAAGATAAGAAGCAATGATAATCGGTGACTCAGTTTTCAACAAAAAGTTCTTGGAATTGTGTCACAATGGAGACACTGAGGTCAGTCCAGTCATTCCTCCAAGGGCTTAAAAAATGCTGCCTCTGGGCCGGGGATATAGCTTAGTGGCGCAGCACCTGCCTGGCAAGCATGAGTTTGATTCCTGGTACTCACAAAATGAAAAACAAAGAAACAAAAAAACTGCTGCCTCTGAGCAGGTGTGGTGCTGTTCACCTGTAACCCAAGGGCGCTGGGAGGCAGAGGCAGGAAGACTGCAAGTTTAAGCCTAGACTGGGAAACTTAGGGAAGCCCTGTTTCAAAATAAAATAAAAGCTGGGTGTGGGGGCGCGCACCTGTCATCTCAGCACTCGGGAGGCTGAGGCAGGAGAATCATTGTGAGTTCAAGACCAGCCTGGGCTACAAAGTGAGCTCAAGGCCAGCCTGAACTGCATAGCAAGACCCTGTCTCAAAAAAAAAAACCAAAAAAAAAAAAAAGTGGCTGGGGTGTAGTTCATGGGCATGAATCAATGGGCTCACACTTGGGGCACCTTTGTGGAGAACTGGAAAGGGACGCAGGGCTATGCTAGGGGGTGCCATCCAGTGAGTCTACCCTGCTCACAGACAGAGCTGGGGGTCCCCAGTCTGGTCATTTTGTGTTTGAGGGGATGGCTGTCTGCTGTCTTTGGGAAACTTTCATTTCCTTTTTCTAGCTGATCGTTTGGTCAGTCAAAACTCAGCGCGTGGCCTGACTCAAGTGTGACCCTAACAGCTCCACGTCCACTTTGCTGCAGGGACATCCTGATCACCAGTGTGGACGCCACCATGACCTTCCACGAGCTCTGTGAAGAAGTGCGGGACATGTGCGGCTTGCACCCACAGCACCCGCTCACCCTCAAGTGGGTGGACAGTGAAGGTAGCCTGTCCATCCTCCCTCAACTGCCCTGCGTGGAGCACTGGGCTGCGGGGCGGAGGCGTTAGAGCTGCTTTCCCGGGAAGACAGCTGGAAAGAGACACAGCTGGGCATAAATGGAAACCCGGGAGAGGGAGGCGAGGTGGCCGTCGGGCGGGATGTCCCTGCTGTGGGTGGACTTGGCCTTGAGTGCGTGGAGTGGTGGTGAGGCCCCTGGGGGCAGGTCTTTACCTGCCCCCTGCCCCTCCTCAGGCCCTGGGCTTTCCTGGGAGGTCGTTTTGGAAGGGTGAGCTCTCGCTTCTATAGACAGTGACCAGCCAGGCACAGCCAGGCCACGGCATCGGCCTGTCCCACTCTCCTCCTCCCTGACGTCTCTCGGTCTCTCTGGTTTTCTATCTCTCTGTTCCTCTTTGCCTCTGTTTTTCTGCATCTGTTTCCTTCCCTGTCTCCCTAGATTCTCCTCAATCCCAGACACATGTCTAAAA